ATATATATATATATATATATATATATATATATATATATTATTAATAATTATTTAAAAATTAAAATTACATGTATTTTATGATACACGATACAATACAATATTATTAAAAAATAATATATCTTTCGATACACGATTTGACAACTAGGCACAATATTTAGGAGTTGCTCCCTTGGGTTGAGTGATGTTGCATACCACTTGCCAGCTGGCAACTGCAGTTGAATCAGATGGTAACCCACTTGGGTCCGGGAATTGGCTNTGGGTTGAGTGATGTTGCATACCACTTGCCAGCTGGCAACTGCAGTTGAATCAGATGGTAACCCACATGGGTCCGGGAATTGGCAAGGACTCACTCGCACTGGAGGTCCACATTGGAAGTCCGGATTCAGTGTGCCACTGATTTGCCAGTTCTGTGGTGGACTGAGCTTGGAGCGGTTCAGATCCGGTGGCATTTTGAAGACATTAATCTGGAATGCTGAAGTTGACTTGCTTGGTTCCATGCNGAATTGGCAAGGACTCACTCGCACTGGAGGTCCACATTGGAAGTCCGGATTCAGTGTGCCACTGATTTGCCAGTTCTGTGGTGGACTGAGCTTGGAGCGGTTCAGATCCGGTGGCATTTTGAAGACATTAATCTGGAATGCCGAAGTTGACTTGCTTGGTTCCATGCATGGGGGTAAAATAGTTCCATTTCTGCAACAAAAAGGTATCATCCCAAGATTTGTGTCATTGGCCTTTGTTAAAGGCAGGTCAATTATGGTTGGCCTTCTAAGACAATTCAATACAGTGGAAAAGTCAAGGTCCTGATAATAATGGCCCTGCGAGCCATAGATGCAGCCTGTTGCATCAATAACACTGGGATAAGCCCCTTTCATGGCAAATATGAACTCTTTCCTCATCCAATACCAGCTTAATTGCCAATTATCAAGCCGACCAAGAGGGTTATGGTTTGAAATTGTGACCTGTGCCCAGTAATTCGTATCATGTGCTCTGATCACATCATACATTATCGTCAGATCACCATCTTGTCGGCACATAAATTCTTCACCTAAGGTGGTGTTGANTATCATGTGCTCTGATCACATCATACATTATCGTCAGATCACCATCTTGTCGGCACATAAATTCTTCACCTAAGGTGGTGTTGAGATTGAAGTTTGAGTCTTTGGTACAACACACTTGCATTTCGTTCGTCCCTGATAAATCCAACATCAATTATATAAATTATGACATTCAAACAGGTGAGGCAAAATGCATATCAAACTTCAGAAAATAGCTAATAAGTTCAGAAGGGACAACTGCTCAACAACCAAGGCGACCAAAGGAAAAGAAAATAGGAAAAAGGACAATCATATAAATTCTCCTATTCAATCCATATTTTAAGGAGGGAAAAAAAGTAGAGTCAAGTAGCTGCAAGGTGAAGCAAGATATCATCATCGACACAAGGTCACGTCTAAGATAAACACACAAATTCTTCAATGAGATTAACTCCATCTGACATAGGTTCTATTAAAAGGGACTCAAATATTGAAGTCCTCGCAATTAAAACCGACACCCCGGAGCCATTGGTTTACTTACCATATATTTTGTATCATCTTGTTCAACATTCTTAAAATTTAGTGCACTGGTGTCTTGATTCATGCTTGGGCAGTCTTACACCAAACTCTAGGCAGTTCTACAAGCAATCATTCTATTCCGTCATTTTAGTGCTATAAGTTTGGGATGTCCATCCAAATCCAAGTCATCCGTGATCAAGTAGATATAAGTCAACTACAAGCAGAATGGGTCAAACCGCCTCTCTTACTCCAATCTTGCATTCCCCTGGCCCATTTCTCATATGACATACCAAAGGGCAATTCTCAAAACTTAAAAATGCCAAAACAAGAAATCTGAAAAGCCACAAGGCCTGGAATTGCTAGTGTTATTCCACTGTAAGGTGTTACTAAGTCATAGCCTGGAAAGGGTATTATAACAATTAACAGCCAGACCAAATCAACACCTGTTTAACAGAATTAAAAACCGCAATTGAGCTCAATCTTCTCATCATTATTAACTAAAACAAAAATAACAAACTATGACATAAAACAAAAATCATTTCACCCTAGTATTGGGCTTCTACTTCATAGTAAAATAGCAAATTTTCCAGTGAAATAGCAAGGAAGTATGAAATTGGTAACAGAAAGAATAGTTTTCACTGGTTGACAGCCTATCTTAAGGTTGAATTACATTGTGAGATCATTGCTTGGTGCAAATATAATATGCTTAAACTATCTTTCACCCCATTTTTGGCCAACAAGCAACCAAACAAAGGATGAATCTAAAATTTTCAAAAAAAAATGTCA